AGGAGTGCTCTGACCCCCGGGCACCGCCGGCCTCGCCGCGGCTCAGCAGCCCTCCCCGAGAGTCCCAGCAGCGCTGCCAGGGCCGGGGTGCAGGGGGGCGGCGAGGGACCAGAGGTGGGACCCCTTCCCATCTCAGCAGTTCTGGTTTCACCGAGAGGCTACCGAGCTCTCCCGCTCCTGTTGGAAACTCTCTGTGAGGTGGGAGCTGGTAGAGCAGCCCAAGGGTGGGGAGAGCTGTGCATCTGGGAAGGGAGGAAAGACCATCTCTCCTGCGGATGCAAGCTGAGGTGAGCAACAGCATCAGTGAGAGAGCAGGGCCAGAAGTTGCTAAGGAGTTTGTGAAGCCCTCGGATGTTCCTTGGTGATGGCTTTCTGTCCCTGCCACCAGAGCGAGGTGTTAATGTACCACAACTACCTTCTCCCTTGCTGGTTGTGATCCAGCCCAGCCCCAAACACGCTGTCATGCAGTTCTTCTGCACTTCATCTTTCATCCTTCTGTCCCAAGACATGTGTGAATCCTCTTGTGCCTGTACCATACCTGCGTCGCAGGGCTGTGCGACTCTGGACAGCATTGGGATCCCGGTGACTTTTTGCTCTTTGCTCCCCATGGGACCGGTGCCTCCATGGCACAGAGGGAAGTCTTCAACCCGGACAAGCCTGGTCCTGCCTAACACTGAGGGACACTGTCCAGAGGGCTGGGAAGTTGCTCAGGGAGATCCCAGAAAGCAAAGAAGCGGGGGATCAGGGAATGCAGACAGATTTTCACTCCCAGTCTGCTGCCAGGGAGGCAGGGAAAGGTTCGCCTCTTTGAGTAACAACCAAAGCAACTAGGAAGGAGATGGCCATGCTACATTAGCAGGGCCTAGGGCCAAAACAAAGACAGAGGATTAACCTGGCCCTGGGCATCCCCGGCACTAGTGAGGCAGAATTCTGGTCCTACAGCAGCTATAATTCTTTGCCCTGTAAACTCAAAGTCACCTGAAAAACTTTGCCAAGGCTGGTCAAACTTCATCTACAGGTTCCAGCCACACCTGAGACGGGCTGCTCTGAATATGAGCAGGGCTTTCCCTTCCATGTACAGCATCAGGCTCTGCCGGGAGAGAGAAAAAGAAGAGCTCAAACTATCCACCCCTCAACCCAAAATTCCACTAACATAACCCAGACACTCAAAGCTGGCTCTGCACGTAGGCTGGGGCTGTATGTCACTGAGGAGGGAGCAAACCATCACCCCTTCCCTGTCCCCCGGGCTGTGCCTGGTGTTCCTTTGCAATCCTGCACCAGCTGAGGTTTGTTGTTTTCGTGATGGACAGAGATATCTGAGCCCTGAAAGCGAAGGCGGGGTGCATCCTCCAAGAGTACAGGAAAGAGCTCTCTCCCCACTCCAGCATTTCACTGCAGCTTCTGTCAAAGCTGTTTCCATGGTCATTTGGCGGAAAAGTAGTCCAGCTCCAACAAGGCAGGAAATTATAGTTAGCATTTAGTATTTATCATTATTACCATTTAGCATTTACCATTATATTTAGCATTTTGTTTATTAGGCAGTCCTACATATACAGAAGATGCTAATATAGTAATGGAATTTGTTGTCTCCTCGTAATGCCTTGGAAGTACAAATATAGTTATCAATCTTGCTACAGAAGCTGGCGTGTGTTCCCTTTTCACTGTATCTCCTTCAGGACTCTGGACTATGGCTACAATTACAGGGTGACATTTCCTAGTGTTGTGCCACGGTCTCTTGCCAGGTATCTTTTCTTCTGTTGGAGTCTTAGCAGCCAGACAGATCCAACATGAGACCCATCTTCAAGTACACCACTCCTTCCGCCTTTACCTTGCTCGTCTTCTCTGCTCTTTGGATGGGGAGACAAAAGATCTTCAGTGAAAAAAAAAAAAAAGGAAAAGGAAAAAAGTGAAGGAAGTCAGACGAGGGAAAAATTTAAGCTGCCAGAGGCATATGGATGTAGCAGCGGAATATATGGATGTGCTGCTTTCATCCGTTGCTCTCAATGGGAAGCAAGTAGGTAAGATCAGGCAAATCTAACATGTCCATTTTCTTGGAAAGGAGATAAAGAAGGAAAGGATAGAGCTATTTTCTCCTGGGAGGAGGACCTGCTGTTGCTTTGGGGCACACAAGAAGCTATCTCCACTCCCTTCCTTTGGTGCATGTGCCAGGGAAGAGCCAGGGGCATCCTTCAGGGCCCCAGGCAGCCCTGTGCAGGGAGGAGAGCATGGCGGCACTCTCACAGCATAAATACCCACCAGGATAAGTTCTTCTGGGTTACTAAATCCCCCCTGAAGCCTTCCCCTCTTTGTAGGTCACAGTCCATGTTTTTGCAGCGCCGCCACAAACCCCTTTCTGCATTTACCTGCAGGCAGATGGACAGGCAGCAAGCACTGCAAAGGCCGCTGAAAGGACCATGCTGCTCCTCGGCCGCCCCGCCATGCTCCTGGCCTGTGACATGGCTGTGCTTGATGCCCAGCTCGGGCTGCTCCCCATGCGGGTAGTGTAAATGCACCTAATGAGCTCTTTTGCAGTACTGTGTCTTCCTTGCGAAGCCCTTGCCTCATGAACACCTTCTCTGGAGGGCTATGCCCAGGGAGGTATGGGGTGATGTGCTGGTTCTGCAGCGCACACCCAGCGATGGCAACATTGGCCTTTCCCACACCCTGCCTGGGCCATCACACCCAACATGGCTGACCCCGGGGGCTGAGGACGCTGCCTGGCAACCGCCCTGGCAGCCATCTTGGCGCCACCTCATGGCTGCCCGGGGGCTGGGTGCCTTCTGGAGCTGCAGGGCCACACTGATAATTTAAAAAACCCAAACACCACAGCTTTGTGCTGTGGGTTTTCTCCAGGCAGTGCAAGACAAGTTTTTTTTCCAAAAAGTGAAAATCCGAGACACAGAAAGATGATCCAGTGAAAAGACTGTCCTGTGAACGCTCCCTCTCCCCTGGCACAAGAAGGATTTCCTCTTGTTTATGCATTCTCTGTAAAGCGAAACCACCTTCCCACTGCAGCCGGGGATGACTTTCCCTGAGCCGGTGGCACCCTGTGTTCGATCTCCGCACAGTGAGGCGTCCCAGTGAATGCACCAGTTACCTCTGGTGGCTTTTGGGCTTGAGTTGCTCTCAGCCCATCCTCCACCTTGACTAGTCCATCCAGCAAAGACTTGGGGAAGACCTGCATTCCCCGCAGATGCAAGTGAAAAAGTGGCGAGTTTCTCCCTTGTGTGTGTGCGTGCTTGGTTAAATAGGTTAATGACTGCATGAAACAGTGACCACATATCTCTGTTTCCACACATGCATCTGATGAGTGCGCATAGGCAAAGCTACCGTGCATAGAATAGCAGGGAAAATTATTCCTAAGGACGGTACTGAGAAAAGAGTATCTCCGTAAGTCATGGCACTTCTTCTCAGTACTCGTATTCAGGGGTGGAACAAGCCTGAGTTCACTTGCAGCAATGAAATGCCCCATTAATCACGTATGCCTTTGAAAGGGATATGTCAGGCTTGGCTTATACGCCTACATTGGTACCTGATCCCATCTAGACAATGCGAGACAAGCGCTTAACAAAGCGGCTCTAGTTAGTAACTTGACTTATTTGTTAGTTTGCTAGTTAGATATAAATCAAAGTGTCGTAATAAGCCAATGATGTAGCAGCAGCTGCAATCTAATTTAGAGAGAAACAGCCTCGTTTTAGTTTTCCCGACATGAACACAAAAGACAGTATCAATACTGAGGCCGGTAGAGACACAGCTGTATAAAACTAGTGAAAGGTCTGAATACGAGGGCAAATATATTATTATCTCAATAAAAGAAAACTTAAAATTAGATCAGGTCTATACTTCAACAGTTTTAAATTGCCAACAAAAGAATGCTGACTACAAGGAATAAATACATCTTGGAGCTATGCTGTGACATTTAAAAATCATTTTACCAACTTGTTAAATGAATAGCACTGGTTGCATCCTAAGCACTTGTGTGCACGTAGGAAAGGGTTGCCTCAGCTATGACCCTGATTGATCGCACTTTGAGCGTAATCATTCCTATAGTAGATTGGCCTCCCAAATTTTGCTGCAGTAGCCTATTAAGAAGCTGACCTTTGAGGCAGTTGCACAAAATACTGTGTAGTGGCAGCAAAGAATGCTCTTAGGAGGGGCTGTATTTCTATCTGGCAATGTAATGGCTCAGCTCCATTGACTTCAATTTAGCTATATCTCTTGATATTGGCTGGAGACCAGATCTGTGGTATCTATTTCGGGAAACGAATTTAGAACCAACAAAAATAAATACTTCCAGATGCAGCATTGAGTCAGCATATCGCATTCAGTGCTGCTTGAAAGTACTGAATCAGTTGGTGCAGATAGATTTTTAAGAAGAGAGGAATAGTTTTATGACTGTCGATGACATTTATAGACATGCTTGCTTTATCTCTTGCTTCATAAAATATAGGTCACAGGATATCTTTGCAGGTAGAGCAATTACTTGCAAGTCCAAGCAGAGAAGAGCACGGTATGCATCACTCTGCAACTAGCTAGATGTATTATGAGGTTGGTTGAGGTTTTCTGCCTTTTGAGGTTTCGGACATTGATGAGGCCAGGATGGTGAACTTGAGAAACCAGTGATTTGAGTCTGCGTAATGAAATCCAGCACTCCTAGCTCTAAGAAAAGAGGAAAGCAGAGATCTGCCATGGTCCTCTGTAAAATGATTTAACTCCTGCAGCTATTTGTACTTGTTCTACCTGAACAGAAAATGCAGTCCAATGAAAATATACCACTGAGACAGATTCTGATCCTGTGGTCCTCCATCGAGAATAAGAAATAGGTAGCAGTTTAATGGGCTTCGACAGGATTGCTGGTGTGCACAAGATCTGCAGAATTTGGCATGAACAAAGTTGCATGCAGCCTCTCTGAACTGAAAAGTCCTGTCAGTCCTCAGCTAAGATTTCACCGTTAAAATATAATGCACGTACTTGAACTTGCAGTGTATTTTGGTGGTTCACAAACCCTGGTGTCTGGAGCGCTTTCTGCAGTGTGGGTCAATCGCATGCTACCGACCCAGGGATTCCAAGCTCTAAGTGCTGTCAGATATTTTCACTCATATCCCCACGCAATTTTGCCAGATGCAATTTTGCTGCAATTGTCACAAGAACATTGTATCACCGTAAACATTAGGGAATTACAGATGCTTGGATATGGGAGAGGATCTGTCTTTGGTGAGATGTGATCCAATAACTGTATGTCCCTTTTTGTTGCGAGGAATGGCTCTTATAAAGAAATGTAAATCAGGGGAACATGTGATGGGAATCCCAGACAGAGCTTTATCTTGTGACTTAGTTCTTTGTGCAGAGCACAAAGTATTGAAACATTTAATCTAAAACTCTGAGGATTGGCATGGATGGCAATTCAACGTGGAACTGTGCATGTGAAGTAATAACAACTAGTAATGTTTCCATTAACTGCTTTTCATAATTACTCCATTCTGTGGCAGTGCTGACACTGGTAAGCAAAGTTGTATGGCAGATCACTTAGTTACAAGTAGTAGAAGTCCAATGTGCAGATTATTGCTCAACAACGCTTTTACTGCAATTACAAGTGCAGAGACCATAC